TGATCCTCTTGTCTTTGATTTCATTTTGCGTGCCCCTATTTTATATTTCAATCTCTCTAAAAGAGTGTCTTTACTGATGCTTTGGCACTGTGTTTGTTCACAGAAAGATAGCACAGCTACTCTATCACCATATGTGTTTATGTATTTTGACATTTGCTCATCAGTCATGATGCGCAACACTGCTTTGTCAACCTGCAAACAGAAGAGAGAAACACTAGTGTCAGTACAGTGCATTGTATCTATTTTGATGAATCTGAATTTTTTTTTATACTTTGCTTATTAAGATGCATCAAGACAATCAGAAATCTAGTTTAGTGCAAATTACATGCCATTTATGTATTCCCATGTATTAACTTATTCAGTGTAGTTGCAGATTGTTCTAGAAAAAGTTTTAAAAGCCCTATAAAATATACTGTGTTAGCATTCGTTCTGACACAAGTCAACTTTTGTGCATTAAATAATTTCATTAATCACTGCAATTAATGCACCATTTAATTTGGAAGATGAGGATTCCTTGATTCAGCATGGAAAAATTAAAAACTTCTGTGGTTGACGTTCTCCATTTCATGGCACAAAAACATTGTGCGTCCAGGTTATCTCAACCTGAAAAAAGCGAAAACCTGACCCTGTGTGAGTTAAGCTATATAACTAAAATTCCACCTATAACCAAGTATCTTATAGACAGGTATAGATTTATCTATGAATTTGCATACACAACCCATTTATGAATGAATGCATTTCATCAATTTATCCTTATGGTTAATCATTTAAAATAAATATTTAATTTGCTGACTTGAATATCAATTATTCAAATTTATTTGAAATGTACTCTACATTAATTAATGTATGTTTCAGAAAGGTAGTCATCCTAATAAAGTAAAAAAAAAAGTGTCACAGACCTTTATATAGTCGTTAGTTGTTATTTATTTTATAGTTTTACTCTGATGCTTGATAAAATAGTCAAGAAATGCAGATTGGAAAGGATTCCAACTGCTTGCAAGGTGTACTTTGCTAAATAAATTCAATTCGATTAAATTTAATTTATATAGTGCCAATTCATTAAAACATGTCATCTTAAGGCACTTTACAAAGTCAAATTCAATCAGATTATACTCTTTAAACCACCCGTGCCTGAAAACATGTCGGCTCTATTAATTTCACAAATTTTATACTATGATAAATCACTGGCAAGGAACGTTAACAAGCTGGTAATGACGATACAGGTTTTCGGAAATAAAAATCAACCAGACTTGACAGTCAACAGTATGCTCGACCAGCCAGGGAGTTCAAAGTTACCAGTTTTATCCTCTACTCAAGTTTCATGATATCATGTTAACATTGTTATTAGGCTATCAAGTATGCATTCACTATAATTGCACGAAACAATTATGCATTTCTACAATTCTACGAATAATACCAATATTAGCTAACGATAGCATGCTATTCACGAAGCTATTCACTCTACTTTCGTCACGAATGCCTTGTTACTAAATTTACGTCAGGTTATTTAATGGATTGTTTACTGACCTTGTCTCTCTTCATTCGTGTAATGTCGTCTTTTGGGACTTCTCTAGAAATTAAGAACCTCTCCAAATCGTCCTCCATGGTTGTAGCTTGTAGTTTTCGCTTTGCGCCTCCGCTGTTGTGTGTCTGGTTTACTTCCGGTTCGCCCCCGTATGTTCAATTTCCGGTTTGCCGACGTAGAAAACCTTTTTTTAATCTTTTCAAATGTCTCTCGCTAATGTCAAATCCATGTCTGCAGCCGAGTGTGGATTTAATGTCTTTATATGTCAGGCCAATACTAAAATAGAAATGAATAAACTTCTCCGATTGATGATCTGTTTGCGCCTCCATTGTTTTGTGTCTGTTTACTTCTTCTTCTTCTTCTATTTAATGGCGGTTGGCAAACAACTATGTGGTGCAATACCGCCACTAACCAGCAAGGAGTGTGGATCAGGACATCTGTTTTACTTTGCGAGATCTCGCAATACTTTTGCGAGATCTCGCAAAAGTTTTTTTCCCCCTCCATGTCCCTTTAGGGCCGCGGTTCTCAAAGTGTGTGGCGCGACCCACTGGTGGGGAATTGAGACGTGACAGGTGGGGCGCGCCAAGTTCCGGTGTGTGTGTGTGTGTGTGTGACTATAAATGTAGAATGTGTGAGAGCAAACTGTCCTTATAGCTGTATGTTGCCGCTTTTTAGACCAATCAAACCCACAAAGTAATCATTAATAGCCTACATGCAGTCTAATTAAAAGAACATTAGATATGAGAAAAATTTCACCTGGAACTGAAGTGCCAAAATAATGATTGACGTGACGTCGGCATATTATTTGTAACGGAATAAACTTTCGCGCCCCAGTGTTGCCAAATCAGCGACTTTGTTGCTATATTTTAGACCCCTCCAGCGACTCTTTTTAAAAAAAGGGACTAGCGACAAATTAGCGCCTTTTGGAGACTCTTACGTGAAAGCACGTATCATTCCTTTTCTTGTCCTCCAGCGGCAGGTGCTGCCGTGGGGCGCCTCCCCCATCCCCACCCCGTTCTCCCCAGCTATCGCAGGAGTCCCTCTCAGCGCTGCAGAGACACAGCATGTTTACCCTCAGCGTCCAGACTGCAAATAAAGCGCACATGCGCCGGGATTGACGGCGCAGGTTGATCATAAATAACTGAATTTGAAATATTTTATCTTAAATAAATAGGACCAGTTTATTGAAATGACGTCTGACTCCACCCTGAAGCTCAGGTTTAATGCTCAGACTAATAGTGAATTCTGGTTTGGAGTGGAGAGGGAGTATCCACTCATCGGGCAGAGAGCTGTGTGCATTCTTCTTCCCTTTGCCACATCATATCTCTGTGAGATGGGCTTTTCAACTGTTGCTTCACTGAAAACAAAATACAGATCTCAGCTGAACATTGAGCATGACTTGAGAGTGGCAGTATCAAGCCTGCAACCCCGTTTTGAGAAACTGTGCAATGCAAAACAGGCTCATTGCAGCCACTAATGCAGGGATAAATAGAGCTGTATTGCCAGATGGATTTCACTTCTTTTCTTTTATTAACAGATTGCAGAGTGGCACTTTAATTTTTTCTATCTTTGAGCTTGATACAAATTTTGACACAGCTGCATTTTCATTTTCTTTATTTTTGAGCTTGCTGTTATTTGATGTAGATAGTTTGTATTTAGATACTACTTGTTACTTCAATAAAATTGGAAAATTTTAAGATTGTTGCATATTTCATTAGCATTGTGTTGGGGCAATGGGGACAGGCGGGGCTTGAAAATTCCCCCTTGTCCAAAGTGGGGAATGACAGAAAAAGTTTGAGAACCACTGCTTTAGGGGCTCCGTAGCAAACTGACATATGACCTGAAGTAGAATGAGGGTGAAGGAGGGCTGGTTTTATTGGGGGCTTAGCAGCAGGCAGGGTGGTCCTATCCAGGGGGAAGAGTTGTCAACAAAACCGGGAAGCGAGAGGGAATCACTGGACGCTCTTTCAGGGCTCACTAATCCACTGCACTGCATTACTCCCATAGCAAATTACTTATTTCGACCTGTTATTATATAGTTTTTGTTTTGATTAAAAATCATGGTTTTTATAGGTTTGTTTAGTATTAGATGAACATGTTATAAGGGAAGTGAAATTTTGTTTTATCATCAGCTATGTTGGGTTATCGTTTTATTTTTATTTATTTTTTATTACCAATAAATAAACTTTGGGTTGTTTTCATGCTTTCCTGGGTTTCCCTGAAGCTGCAGATTTTCCTTGGTGAGCGGGCTGGGCAGTGCTTTGCTGCACACCTGCTCTCAATCAGTCCCTCGTTGGTTAAAGCTTAAAGAGAAGCTGCTCCAAACACATTCTGTCTGAGTGTTGACTGTTGTGGTACCGCTACCCCTCTGGGAGCCTCACTGTGTTATTGCATCTGCAAAGCTCCTCTTATTTTAAGTTTTTCTCCAGAAGTAACATGCTTCTGATTCATTCTTGGATTCCATCAGAAAAGCAAACTCCTTATCATAATCTGCTTGAATTAAACGTATTGTGGAGGATTTTTGTAAATTTTTTAAAAGACCTGCCCTCTCCACTTTATAAAAAATAAGCACATGAACAACCCTGTACACACTCCCAAGAGGAAATGCATGCGAGTGCATGCACGCTCTGTTTCAAAGTTGCTGTTCTCATGGCTCATTCAGAGCTTACTGTGCCCGAACGTCCGCCCTTACCCCTAAATCCCTCAGAGATATGCCTGGAAGAGCGCATGTGCAGAAAAAGATGACTAACAGGATGAGCACATAGGACAGCCATATATAAACATACCACCAGAATGATTGACAATTAGGAGGACCAATTATTTAGATGATCCACCTGCAAATAAAATATCATCCTCTATACCTTTAGCAAACAATTGCTTGCTGTAATCCCCCCAACCATTGGTTCCTCTGACCTACCTGCCCCCTTCTACTTTTATCATTCGACCTCCGACTCTCTCCACCCAGCTAACAACATTTAGCACCATATTCCACCGCTAAATATTAAACAAAGGGTGCCATCTGTTTTGATTTTTGTTGTTTTAACAGAATCAGGTACTCAACTGCAATAAGTCTGCAATTTTTTCATCATACAAGAAAAAGTATGATCCTGACCTTAAATCAGTTTTAGGACTTTAAAATAAGAACTTTTGTATATGTTCTTTTCACATTAGGGAACAGTATTTAAAAGACATGCTTCAAATGTGTTTCACACTCCGTTGTATTCATATCATAGGTGTAGAAAATGAAAAAGAAAATCTTTGCAGCAACCAGCCAATAACAATCTAAATAAAAATCCAACAAATTTCCAAACTTTATTCCACAAACCTATTAGGATTTACAGGATCCTTCAATGGTCAGAATCTGAATCAGTTATGTGACCAAACACAATTGCTTTAATTCAATTGTGTTTGGTCTTGTTAGTCATTGATCAAGCTCCTGCCCTCCCTTCCCTTCTTCTGTAAGCCCCACCCACTCTTGCAAAACACAAACCCTGGAAACTCAGACAGTTGCCGGCTGTTTCCTGCATATTTAGCATACCAGCAATGGATAAATTATGTTGTAATGTTCCAAAAACTTCCTCTAAACCCAAGGTTTACAGGATCCCTGCTCTTTTGTACATTGAAGAAACGCTTCTGACCTTCGCCGAGCAGCGTGAAGAAAAAGCAGATCATACTGCAGAGCAGCTGGTTATGAGGAAGGGAGCGCTCCGGAGGGAAAACAGTGTAACAGTTGAGGTAATGTAGCTCACTTTACTGTTTAATTTCTTCACTGACAGAGATTTTTACAGTGCTTCAGTTAAACACAGCTCCTGATTACCATGTTTTGCAGTGGAGCGAGCAAACAGTGGTGAGAGAAGCGCACATTAGTGGACACCGCACCATGAACCCTTGCCCTGTGTTCGACAGAGCAAACAGAAAGCTGTTCTTGTTTTTCATCTGCGTCGAAGGAAGCTGCACTGAGTGGTGGCAGATAGGAAATTACTGCAACAAAACCCGCCTCTGTTACATAACGAGTGAGGATCTTGGACAAACCTGGAGTGGACTGACTGATTTGACTGAACATCTAAGTAAGGAATGGGTGACCTTTGCTGTTGGGCCAGGTCATGGTCTTCAAGCAGAGAATGGCAGACTAATGGTTCCAGCTTATGCTTATGTTGGTGCAAAGCCTATAAAACCTGTTCCACGTGCTGTGTCCCTCTATAGTGATGATTCTGGTGAAAACTGGCAGTTTGGCTCCTTGCTAGAAGGAAAATCAATAGAGTGTCAAATGGCTGAGGTTTCTGATGGAAAAGGCAGATTCATTTATTGCAATGCTCGCAGCCAGGGAGGGCATCGGGTGGAAGCTGTCAGTGACAGTAAGGGACATGCGTTTACAGTATATAGCAATAAAAAGCTTGTGGAAACAGGTTATGGCTGTCAGGGAAGTGTGATCTCCTTCCCAGCACAAACTGAAGCTGCAGCAGATGGCGGTGAGAACCAGTGGCTGTTATACACCCACCCAAGCCATGCAAAGAAAAGAATTAATTTAGGTGTGTTCCTGAACACATCACCATCTGATCCAAATGCATGGAGCGATCCCAGGATCCTTTACAAGGGACCCAGTGGTTACTCAGACCTGGCTTACCTCGGTGATGGTTGGTTTGCTTGTCTGTTTGAATGTGGGAAGGAAGAAGAAACTGAGCGGATTGCTTTTAAAATTTTTAACTTCAGTGAAATTAAGGTCAACACACAAGAAAGTCGCACGTGCCCTTTGCAGCAGCCCACTGAGGCTATAGGGAGTGATGTAGTTACTGTCTTTATATAATAAAAAAAGAAATCCCAAGTCCCACTTGTAAAAACTGACCATTCTAAAGAGTTGATATTAAAAAATCTTTTATGAGAAATGAGTATCATAATATTTTTATTTGTCCCCAGTTGTGCTGGACCAAACTAGTAAAGCATGAGAACACAGTGGAAACAGTTTGATTTCCCCAAAGTAATGAACCCAAAACAAATATGGCCCCTAAAAGGAGGTCAGTGAAGAAACTAAACACAAGCTGTGATAATGATTTAACGAAAACTTATAGTTCAAACACAAAAAAATAACCTTATACGTGACAAGGAGGGGGATTGAACACTGGCTGTTCAGACCACATTAACACAGTCGGAAGGCGTACGAGTAACATCCCACAAATCTAAAAAAAGGAACCTAAAACAAAGCGTAATAATTCATTTGATTGACTGCCAATCAATATCGTTAAACAAATAATAATAAATGGAAAAAGTGAGTCGATGGCCCTCCCCCATGATGAAACTCTGCACCCATTTCCTTCTGACCAAACAACTTGGTCAAACCCACAAAACATCGCCTTCAAACGGTTCGGCTCTAATAGGGATACACTGGGAACAGAAGAGCAGAGCCAAACAATAATCACACTCCCTGGCTCCTTTCCATGTTGCTCTTCATTCTTTATTTTCCTGATTTTTGTCGCACTGATTAAATCATCAATGCTAACCGGGAGGAGGGGTTGGTTAAACCTCTGGCTAGTACACCCTAGCTGTTTTATCACTGAAAATAAAGGGTTATAGTGAGTCTTTTAAATATGGGTTGACCTCCTAACAGTCAGCATCTGGCTTTTTTCCCATTTAGCAAAAAAGCCAGATGCCGACCTTTAGCAGGTCAACCCATGTTTGAAATAAAGCAGATAGGGTGTGCCAGCCAGAGTGAATGGCTTAAACAACAGAACTTTACCATATGGGGACCAGTTGAATGTCCACAACTGTAGCCTACCTGTGAGTCACAATGTAGCAGAGATGGGGGATGCTTTGCGAGGAGAGCTCTCCTAGTATGGTCACTACTTTTCAAAGTGCATTGTGGGAAATTTCAAGTCCACTACTTTTTCATCCAATAGGTGTTCAGACACTCATTTAAAATGGCATAACCACTACAGTATATAGTGCCCTATACAGTGATTAGGGTGGACACAGCCTATGTCCTGTGCTAGTTCTGCACAGCTAGTTCTGCAGATTGGACTCAACAGGTTCGGTGGTTGGGCAGAACAAGCACATGACAAAGATGACTTGTTGGCTCCAAAACACTGCCCTGACATTTTAGGGTAATAGACCACACAGCAAAGATAAACAGGAAAACATTTAATTTATTTCTTATTATTTTCCGTTTATTTATCTATGATAAGATTAATACACAAGAGTCTGCAAAATGTTTGTACTACAATTAAAACTAATGTAGTTCAACAATGCAAAAAACAAAAAAGCAACATACAAAGAAAACCTGCATCTTTGCGCTACAGTGATTGTGACTTATACTGTACATGAAAACAAAGAAAAGTCAAAGTGAAAAGGTTTGTTGCCCTGCACTACATCTTGTGGAAGTCCCCAGGTCAAAGGTTAAACATAGTGGCGACTGTTCGTTTGTTGGTCGAAAGCTTTGGAACTGGTTACCTTTCAAATAACCGAAATGTTAATGTTGTACTTTTTTTACAAGCTAAAAAACTAAGATTTAGAATTGCTTTTTTTTTATAATATTATTTTTAATGAAAATGTATTACGGTAAGTTGCTTGATTTTTAGTTGTACCTATCCTAGTTGTATCTATTTCACTACTGGGATGCAATTTGCCTTACTGGTGAATGTTGTAAAGTGCAATACAAATAAATATTAATTGACTGAATAAAATGTAAATGACAAAATCCTTGTGTTTCTTTTGTAATAATTTTCTTCGTTTGGTTTTACATAAATAGCCATTTTAGGTAACAAACAAGTATGCCAAATCCTCAGGAGATTATAATATTTTATATTTGTATGTTACTTATCCATGTATTTTTTTATTGATCTTTAAAGCATGTTTCTTAAAAACTTCAGGGCTTTCCTGGAAATAAAAAAATTACTTATACTATATGTTAACATTTTTTCAAAGCAGCTATAGGGTAAAAGTTGATGTGGCATTTAGCGCTCATTAAAAGGCATGATTGGGATGATAACACCTGACACGATTTTACACAAGTGGCTTGCGTAGCTCTGACTGAGGTAGATCCACATATATTTTAGTCAGACTATGCAGCAATTCAGCAGCACTTATATGGGTCTGACAGAAAGGAGGACACAGTTATAAGGTAAAACACTCAGCATGGAGCCCTGAGGGGAGCCTGTGCTTGGGGTGATGACATCAATGGTGTTCTGTCCAACCCGGACTGACGGAGGTCTGTTTGTAAGGAAGTGTAGCAGATAATTGCAGATGGGTGTTTTGAAGCCCAGCTGTTCCAGTTTGCCTCTCAGATGCTGTGGGATGATGGTGTTGAAAGCTGAGCTGAAGTCGAGGAACAGCATCCGCACATGGGTGGTGTTCTCCTCCAGGTGTGCTAGGCTCAGATGAAAAACAGAGGAGATGGCGTCTTCATTGGAGCGGTTCCACTGGTAGGCAAACTGGGGGACGGGTCGAATTTTGGGGGGGAGACTGGATAGGATGTGTTCTTTAACCAGCTTTCTGAAGCACTTCATCATTATGGGAGTCAGTGCGACAGGCCTTAAAGTCCTTAAATGAGGTTACCCGAGGCTTCTTTGGGACCGGGACCAGAGACCAGGTCAGAGAACAGCTGAGGAGACTTTGGCACAGGAAAGTAGCAGGCCCGGACAAGGTGCGTCCGCAGCTACAGAAGACCTGCACTACTGATCTGGGGGAACCACTCCAACAGGTCTTCAACCTTAGACTGCAGCTGGGGAGAGTGCCTACCCTATGGAAGACATCCTGCAACACATCGGTTCCTAAAAAGACCCGGCCCAGTGAGCTGGATGATTTCTGGTCTGTGGCATAATTTGCCATCACATTAAGACAATGGAGCGGATCTTCCTCAATCTCCTCAGACCTCAAGTACAACAGGCCCTGGACCGCATGCAGTTTGCATATCAGCCAGGTATAGGAGTAGAGGATACCATCCTCTACCTACTCCACCAATTCCACTCCCACCTGGATAAGGGAAGTCCCACAGCAAGGATTCTCTTCCTCGACTTCTCAAGTGCATTCAACACCAGCACACACCAACCACCTGCACAGGAAAACACAGACCAGGATGTACTTCCCTGAGGAGACTGAGGTTGTTCAACATCTGTAATAAACTGTTGGAGATGTTCTACCATTCTGTGGTAACCAGTGTCCTCTTCTACAGGGTGGTGTGCTGGGGGAGCAGCCCATCCAAGAAGGACACCTCCAGACTGGACAAACTGGTAAGGTGAGCCAGCTTTGTGATTGGCAAGAAGCTGGACCCCATGGGGACGGTGGTACACACAAGGACACTTAACAAACTGCTGGACGTTATGATCAAAGCCAGCCACCCCCTGCACACTGTCTTCACCACTCAGATGAGCCTGATCAGTGGGAGATTGCCAGAGGATGCAGAGAGCACATCCAGCCAGTCAGTCAGAGAAACAGGACTACACTGCAAAGAATCTACAAAAACCACAGGACTACAGAAAAACAGGCCGATCTCCAACATCTATAAGCAAAGGTGTTGATGGCAGCAGCACAGCTGATATTTCTCTCCAGGATGGAGTCCCATCCAAAAAGGAACAGACGGAGCGAGGCTACTATGAGAAAAAACAAAGAGAGCATAACGTTAGAGATTAAACTAACAGATTCTGCAGAGTGGGAGAATAGAGATAGAATGAAGCAGAATAATGGAAAAGGGTCCCTGTGCCCTCCAGAAGCCTAAGCCTATAGTAGCATAACTATAGAGATAGCTCAGGATAACTTGAGCCACTCTAACTATAAGCTTTATTAAAAAGGAAAGTTTTAAGCCTAGCCTTAAAAGTAGACAGGGTGGCTGCCTCACGGACTAAAACTGGTAGTTGGTTCCACAGGAGAGGAGCCTGATAACTAAAAGATCTGCCTCCCATTCTACTTTTAGAAATTCTAGGAACCACTAGTAAACCTGCAGATTGAGAGCGAAGTGCTCTGTTAGGAACATAAGGAACAATCAGATCTCCAATACAAGATGAAGCTTGGCCATTTAAGGCTTTATATGTGAGAAGGAGGATTTTAATTCTATTTTGGATTTAACTGGAAGCCAATGAAGAGAAGCCAGGATAGGAGAGATATGATCTCTCTTTTCCATTTTCATCAGAACTCTGGCTGCAGCATTTTGGATCAGCTGAAGGCTTTTAACTACAGTTTGTGGACTTCCTGATAGTAAGAATTACAATAGTCCAGCCTTGAAGTAACAAATGCATGGACGAGTTTCTCAGCATCACCCCTGGACAGGAGATTTCTCATTTTTGCAATATTGCACAGATGAAAGAAGGAAATTCTAGAAACCTCTTTGATATGGGACTTAAATGACAGGTCCTGATCGAAAATAACACCAAGGTTTTTTTATTTTATTATCTGAAATCAGTTTAATCCCACCAACTAATGACTAATCAGCTTCTTATTCAGAGACTCTGGTCCACAGACTATAACTTCATTTTTGTCTAAATTCAGGAGTAGAAAGTCAAGTTAAGTTATTTATCTCATTTATATTTGCGAGTTAAAGTAGAAATTATTTTTAAAAAGTATCAAGTTATTCTTATAGGCCAAGGACACCGCTTTCATTCCATTCTCAAATCTCTGCCATGTAAATATTGAAGATGACTTTTTATGCTGACAGAGGAACTGTCCTAATTAGTTGCAACTACTTGGGAAAACGCTAGTTCTGACACACAACAGGCAAGTATTATTAGGGTTTAATACACTCTCATATTATTAGTAAGAATAATCCTAACAGGAACCGACTACCAGTTTTAACCCTTGAGGGAGACTTTCTAGTTTCAAGGCAAGGCTTAAAACTTTCCTTTTTAATAACACTTATAATTAGAGTGACTCAGGTTATCCTGCTGCTATGGGGTTAGACTGCTGGAGGACATAGGGACCCTTTTTCATCATTCTGCTTCATTCTTTCTCAATTCTCCCATTCTGATGTATTTGTTAGTTTAACCTCTAACGTTATGCTCTCTCTGTTTTTTCTCATCATAGTAGCTTCAACTGGTCTGTTCCGTTTGGCTATGACACCATCCTGGAGAAAATATGAGCAATTCTGCAGCCATCAACATCTTTGTTTATAGATGTTAGAGCTTGACCTGTTTTTAAGTGTAGTCCTATTTCTTTGACTATGACTGTGTGCTCTCTTTCATTCTCTGACATGGGAGCTGGATCGAGGCTTGTCTGCCTGGCTGTCTGTTTCCGATAAGGGACCGCCTGTGGAGCTGATTGACAGTTCCCTTTTTTATCTTAGCTTTTTTCGGGAGATTGCTGCTCACACTGAGACTGGTTCTGCTGGTGGTTTCTTCTTGATAAACCACCAGAAACAGTTGCACACAGGTAAGACCCTTTCCATGAATATCGTAGACGAACTGAGGTTCACTGATTGTCTGGAGCAATCAAAGTCCACATTAAGAGATTCATAAGAAGACAAGTTTCAACAGGAAAGATATTCCTGGTTTAGCTCTTTGGCTAGAATTACGGTGACCAGACATCCTCATTTCCCCGGGACAATCCCCGTTTTGGACCACCTATCCACGGCTAAAACTGTCCCTGGAAATGTCCCCGGTTTTACCATTTTATGAATGAGGGGGAAAATGTTGTGTGTAGATTGTTATTACTGTAGAAAAGGTGGGTGATCATGCTGTACGCAGCTGTTGCGGTAGCTGCATACACGGCTGTAAATGTAAGATGAGAAACAGAACAATAAAGATGGACAAGAATGTCCTGAAGCTTATGCTAATAAATCAACATATACATATGTCCGCATAAAAAACACACTGAATGAGTTGAGCAGTTTTTAAAAATTTCATAGACTCCTCAATGACTACAGAGACCTAAAACTTTCTCTTTTTCACCTTAAAAAGATTGATGGCAACATAAGAAAAGAACATGATGTTTTGACCTGAAAGGGGAAAGTTTCAAGAAAATAACTTTTCCAAGCAGACCATTAACATGTCAGATAAAAAAAGTGGCTTTCAGGACAATAAAGTAATTGTTTCCGACTGACCCTAACAATTTAAAGACAGTAATGTAAAAAAGAAAAAAACTAAAACACTTTGGAAATATAGCAAATGTGAATATTTAAGTCATTCCAAACCTATTTTAGAAAGAATGTATTTCAATGTAAAGGTTTGATAGATCTGTATCTGAAATAAATCAGTAGAGACATCAGAGTTCTGATAGGAAGGTACTTATTTCCTGCAGTGTCTGGTATCACTAAAGCACAGATCATATGTTCATTCATTGAAAAATGACTATCTTTTGTGCATTTAATTTCTATTTATAAACCCACCGATTCTTTTACTATATAGCAGCATTTTACACACAATAATCATGACAGTAATTTAAACGTGCTTAAATGTGTCTGTCAATATTATGTGATAAAAGGACGCCAGAAAAGTCCAATAAGACCTGACATGGTGAGATTGGTATATTTTCTGTCATTAAATACATTCAGCTCCTCATGTTCTATTTTTTGCAATATTATACATTATGTTTTTTTCCTTTTACATGATAAATTATTTCAGCTATGTTATCCTATGGTTCATAAGACACAAAAAAGGAATTGGTTTTCTCCTTTCCAAAAATATATTCCATCAGATTAAAAACAGCATTTCTTTTTGTCCTGGGGAAAATGTCTCTGGGGAAAATAAAGTTATATGTTGATTAATAATATTTTTATGTCTAAATCTGCAAGAGAAATTAACAAGTTTGGATATACATATATTTTATATTTTTCTGTTTGTAAAAAGTGTAAAAAAAAAAAAAAAAAAAACTACATTGATCTTATTTAAATAATTTTCTACACATTAATTAATTCATAGAATCTAAATTCAGATGTTGCAAGTACATCATAACTTCTAATTCCTGTTTTATTTAACCCAATGTTGCTGGACCTCTGCAGCAGGATATTACTTATTTCAAATCACCTGTTTAGGATTATTTGCAAAACCTTGCTGTACTCATAGAAACAAAAGTAATCTAAACCTTCAAAATGTTCTCCTGAATTTAAAGCTACATTAAATCCCATAGGGAGAGATGGGATGGTTATCAAAAATGTTTAAATTCATCTGATTTTCTTCAATACTACACACGTTAAAGATATTACACTCACCGGCCACTTTATTAGGTACACCTGTCCAACTGCTCGTTAACACTTAATTTCTATGCAGCCAATCACATGGCGGCAACTCAGTGCATTTAGGCATGTAGACATGGTCAAGAAAATCTCCTGCAGTTCAAACAGAGCATCAGTATGGGGAAGAAAGGTGATTTGAGTGACTTTGAACGTGGCATGATTGTTGGTGCCAGAAGGGCTGGTCTGAGTATTTCAGAAACTGCTGATCTACTGGGATTTTCACGCACAACCATCTCTAGGGTTTACAGAGAATGGTCTGAAAAAGAAAAAACATCCAGTGAGCGGCAGTTCTGTGGGCGGAAATGCCTTGTTGATGCCAGAGGTCAGAGGAGAATGGCCAGACTGGTTCGAGCTGATAGAAGGGCAACAGTGACTCAAATAACCACCCGTTACAACCAAGGTGGGCAGAAGAGCATCTCTGAACGCACAGTACGTCGAACTTTGAGGCAGATGGGCTACAGCAGCAGAAGACCACACCGGGTGCCACTCCTTTCAGCTAAGAACAGGAAACTGAGGCTACAATTTGCACAAGCTCATCGAAATTGGACAATAGAAGATTGGAAAAACGTTGCCTGGTCTGATGAGTCTTGATTTCTGCTGCGACATTCGGATGGTAGGGTCAGAATTTGGTGTCTACAACATGAAAGCATGGATCCATCCTGCCTTGTATCAACGGTTCAGGCTGGTGGTGGTGGTGTCATGGTGTGGGGAATATTTTCTTGGCACTCTTTGGGCCCCTTGGTACCAATTGAGCATCGTTGCAATGCCACAGCTTACCTGAGTATTGTTGCTGACCATGTCAATCATGGTCTTTATGACCACAATGTACCCAACTTCTGATGGCTACTTTCACCAGGATAATGCGCCATGTCATAAAGCTGGAATCATCTCAGACTGGTTTCTTGAACATGACAATGAGTTCACTGTACTCAAATGGCCTCCACAGTCACCAGATCTCAATCCAATAGAGCATCTTTGGGATGTGGTGGAACGGGAGATTCGCATCATGGATGTGCAGCCGACAAATCTGCGTCAACTGTGTGATGCCATCATGTCAATATGGACCAAACTCCCTGAGGAATGCTTCCAGCACCTTGTTGAATCTATGCCACGAAGAATTTAGGCAGTTCTGAAGGCAAAAGGGGGTCCAACCCGTTACTAGCATGGGGTACCTAATAAAGTGGCCGGTGAGTGTATTTCAATGTTAAAACAAAGCTTAAAATCTCAGCTAGTAAAACATGTAAGTTGCTGTCCCTTATTTCAATGTTATCTTTGGGAGGGGGAAGAACTTACATCAATTTTAGAATTTAAGAGCAAAATTCTACTTTTAGTTTAATCAGTGTAATAGCCTACATCTCTTGAATCAGGGGACCTCCAATTATCGGAAAACACAAAACTGTTTCATTTAAATGTCACGTTTCCTTTTTTCAGAAAAAATTGGCTATTTTTGAATCAAAATTCAAAGAAAAACTCCAGATTTATTAGCAAAGTTATAGAACATAATCATTATTTGCACCAGGAGCTTAAAATGTATCAATGAATACCAATGGAACACAAAATAAAAATAACTTTTTTTGCATTTTGTATAGTAAGAAAGACTTAACATTTATGAATCAATATTGACTAATACAAAAAAGCCAAAATATTAAAAGACTTAATTAAAAATTTAAAGAAAACGTAATTTTTTTATAGCAGAAAATACCAGATTTTCTCACACCAAAACAACATTCATAGTCAGCTGCTGTAATATTACGACAGGTGACCTTTGTCACAATTTTGAATCATTATCATCTATTACTCTTTTATATAAAATAATATTGGTGTGACAACCAACAGCGCTCCCCCACCCTGTTGCTATTTTGGTAGAATCCTGCTTTATTTATTTTTAAGTGTCTAAATGAGGCCTTGCAAATTTGTTAGCGCCAAAAATAGGAAATCTTATAGGCTATATATCTAAAACCTAATTTGATTATAATCGCAGTGTTGTTCAGGATTATTGTGGCTCCTTCTGGTCGCAAATAATCCTAGTGAGATTTATCCTAACAGTATCAATAATTGATAATAATAACTAATCAGTGTAAAAAAATGAATGTTAGAACTGTAAAAATACAGTCATATTACTATTTTATTTATGTATGAATGTTTTTTTAAGGTTGCACTTTAAAAAATGAAATTGTCTAGAACGGTTATAAATAAATAAAAATTCTGTTTACATTCGTGTATACAAAATGACAAAATAAATCAGTTTAAGTCTAATTAAATAACTGCGAGCCTTTTTTAACAAATCCCAGAAATTTACCCTATACTAAATAGAAAAAAAAAAATCCTTCAGTCCCTTTCAAATGTAATCAAAGACAAAGAAGTAACACCTCCTTCTATTGGAAGCCGTTTAGTTGTTACCGTATTATTAGGTTATTATTACTATTTTTTTATTTTTTACTTTTTCTTGCTTTAGTGTCAGTTATTCTAAAAATGTAGGTTGTTCAATTCAAACTGCACACAATAATTTTATAAGTACAGATTTATTTAAAGCAGCACTAAATGTGAGACATTGACTTTGATGGAACAAACTATAGCTGCAAATTGCAGTTAAAAACAAATCAGTGAAGATTCCAGATCTTAGTTTGTGGGAGAATGTTTTAAAGGGAAAACTGGCACCTGGGAAAGGTATGGAGGTAATCCGTGTAGTGAGGCAGAAGGGGGAGATACGGAGCTACTGATGGGGGCCCGGGGCCCCAGCGTTGAAGCATGAGCACAGAGAGGGCTGGGTTCATGCTGCATCCTGCAGGTGGGCTCCCGGGATAAACTTGGAACCGTAGCCACCCCACTGAGCTCATATGGCGGCCCTGGAATCCGGGGCCTAAAGAGGGGCCCCCAGCCGGACCGCAGCGCTCCTGCGCCCTGCGCTCCTTCAGCGCTCCTCTATACATGCGCTGTCTCTTAAAGCGCTTCCTTCTGCGCAAAAAGCTCCCGTTTGCGAACATGTCAGCCGACATGGGGTCCAGCGTCCAGTAATTCCCCTTGCCAGGACTCCCGGGCTCCCGTGGCATTTTCACAAAGCAGTCATTTAGAGACAGGTTGTGGCGGATGGAGTTCTGCCACGCGGGGAACCTCTCCCGATAATAGGCGAAGCGCTGCATGATGAAGCGGCAGATCTCGCTGAGGGTCAGTCTCTTCTTCGGGCTTTGGAGGATCGCCATGGTGATGAGGGCGATGTAAGAAAACGGAGGCTTAGAGGCGGATCTCCTGCTCGGAGCCTTCTGCCTGGGGAGCGCTCCTTGCGCTGACCTCACCTCCTCATCACAGTCGGTCTGAGAGTCCTGCTCATCCATGGGTCTGGGGTCCTGAAGGTGGCCTGTGAAGGGATGGGGCCGCCGCACGCGGGATCAGGAGCTGTCTCAGGGCAAAGACCCCCTGCTTGCTTTCCATTAACAAAAACAAAGACCATCTGACTGCATCTAACAGCAACCACCCACTCTAAACTCCCTCCTCCCTTTCTCCCCTCCAAACAGACAGCTGCGATTTAAAAACCTGAGATCAGACAAAACTCCTTCAACTTCTCAGAGAAATGTTGAGAAAACTTCAAGATTTCAAACAGGAAGCTTGTTTTTTTTTACACTTCCATGCTAGAAAAGTTTTTTTTTCTTCTCCTTTATAAGCATGCTGCACATATGTTAAGGTATTTTTATAGGTTTGTTTAAAAATAAACTGTAGTTCCTTAATAAAGAAAATATTTTATTTTTCATAATAATAGCTACAGGGATCAATTAGTGCTTTTAAAAACATTTTGTATAGAAAAACTGTGGAACATCTTTTTTTTTTTATATCAAAGCGCACAGGTGTTTAAATCAGTGTTTATAAAATTTGAAAATTAACTGTGGATTAAGAAGAAATGGTTTCAATTTTTAGAAAAATGAAAGGTGTGGCAGGTATGTTTATTTAGCTTGGAATCAGTTTTCAGCTTTATCCAGCTTCTCTGTGCCTTCTAAATAAAAGTATTCAGTATGATGTGATATGTTGGTCTTCCTTAACATTGGATACTACGCAGGGGAAACTGTTCAGCAGAGGCGACTCTAGAGTCTGTGGGGGCCCCAAGCAAAAAATCCTAGGGGGCCCTACTGACCAGTGTTCATCACCATTATGTTAGGCTATAAATAATCTGACACCAATGAAAAATGTATTAAATAAAACCTTTTTTTTATTCCAGATGTTCTAAACATGAAGAACCTTGTTATTTTGGAAAATATAAAAGAATAAAAGTAAAGAATAAACTAATAAATTAAAATAAATGTATAATAACATAAAAAAACAAACTGTAAATTACTTTAAAAACCCAATATAAACTTTGTACAAAATATAAAGTAGTTATAGTAAGTGTAGTGAAATGATTGGGGTCCTATACTGCTTCCAGAATTGTTGCTTACGGGCCTTGGCTTGTGCAAATGCAGACATAAGTCCTCCAGATCCAAAGACCTTCACACACTATACTCTATGGAAATAAGCGCCAGTCCTGAAAGTCTCTCTTGAGACATGGAAAATGAATCATTTTCCTTCAGCTTAGTTACATAATTGCTTTCCAATTTACTGAACGATAGGCCTACAACGTCACCCATTCGCTAGGCTACGTTCATTTTCATTAAGGGAAGTCATCCACCTGGGCAGGGCTGGATTTTGACTGGGCAAAGCCAATGTCAATCAACATTCCATCCAATCTGAATTTTTATATGCAGTTGTGCATCTCCTCAGTTACTATAGCGTTGCCACTTCATGCTCGCCTGTTACTGTTTATCTACCAGCTGTGTACAGTAGCTGGCTCTTGGGGGGCCCCCCAGCGGCTCGGGGCTCCAAGCAGTTGCTTGGTTTGCCTGTTGACAAGGTGCGCCTCTGCTGTTCAGCTTTGCCCCTTCTGATCTTAGAACCTCCTTGGACAGATTTTCTCGGACGCCAACATTTTTGTAAACAGGATTTCTATTATTTATTTCCTTGATGCCCTTGTTTTTCCCAGTCTTCCCTAAAACACCAGATGTGTGAATTGCTCCTGCAATTTTTGTCATGCCCGAGGAAAATGGGAGATGGCTTTGTCTTGGTAGGTTTGCAGCAGTCCAATACCCCAATACTTTTCAGATTTTAAATTTCCCCCTTACCTGTCTGCTGTGCTCCTCGTGTTGGTTGCACTTTTCTACTAACAAACCTCTACAGGTGCTGGTCATAAAATTAGAATATCATGAAAAAGTAGATTGATTTCAGTAATTCCATTTAAAAAGTGAAACTTGTATATTATATTCATACATTACATACAAACTCATATATTTCAGATGTTTATTTTGTTTAATTTTGATGATTACAAATGACAACAAATGAAAATCTCAAATTCATCATATCAGAAAATTAGAATATTACTGAAGACCAATAAAAACAAAGGATTTATAGAAATGTTGGCCAACTGAAAAGTATGAACATGAAAAGTATGAGCATGTACAGCACTCAGTATTTAGTTGGGCCTCCTTTGGCCTGTATTACTGCAGCAATGCGGCGTGGCATGGAGTCGATCAGTCTGTGGCACTGCTCAGGTGTTATGATAGCCCAGGTTGCTCTAATAGTGGCTTTTAGCTCTTCTGAATTGTTGGGTCTGGTGTATTGCATCTTCTTCTTCACAATACCCCATAGATTTTCTATGGGGTTAAGGTCAGGAGAGTTTGCTGGCCAATTAAGAACAGGGATACCATGGTCCTTCAACCAGGTACTGGTAGCTTTGGCACTGTGTGCAGGTGCCAAGTCCTGTTGGAAAATAAAATCTGCATCTCCAAAAAGTTGGTCAGCTGCAGGAAGCATGAAGTGCTCTAAAACTTCCTGGTATGTGGCTGCGTTGACCCTGGACCTCAGAAAACACAATGGACCAACACCAGCAGATGACATGGCACCCCAAACCATCACTGACTGTGGAAACTTTACACTGGACTTCAAGCAACGTGGATGAAGTGCCTCTCTTCTTTTCCTCCAGACTCTGGGACCTTGATTTCCAAAGGAAATGCAAAATTTACTTTCATCAGAGAACATGACTTTGGACCACTCACCAGCAGTCCAGTCCTGTTTCTCTTTAGCCCAGGCAAGACGCTTCTGACGCTGTCTGTGGTTCAAGAGTGGCTTGACACAAGGAATGCGACAGCAGAAACCCATGTCTTTCATACGTCTGTGTGTGGTGGTTCTTGAAGCACTCACTCCAGCTGCAGTCCACTCTTTGTGAATCTCCCCCACATTTTTGAATGGGTTTTGTTTCACAATCCTCTCCAGGGTGCGGTTATCTCTCTTGCTTGTACACTTTTTTCGACCACATCTTTTCCTTCCCTTCGCCTCTCTATTAATGTGCTTGGACACTGAGCTCTGTGAACAGCCAGCCTCTTTAGCGATGACCTTTTGTGTCTTGCCCTCCTTGTGCAAGGTGTCGATGGTCGTCTTTTGGACAACTGTCAAGTCAGCAGTCTTCCCCATGATTGTGTAGCCTATAGAACTAGACTGAAAGACCATTTAAAGGCTTTTGCAGGTGGTTTGAGTTAATTAGCTGATTAGAGTTCACAATATTCTAATTTTCTGATATGATGAATTTGAGATTTTCATTTGTTGTCATTTGTAATCATCAAAATTAAACAAAATAAACATCTGAAATATATGAGTTTGTATGTAATGTATGAATATAATATACAAGTTTCACTTTTTAAATGGAATTACTGAAATCAATCTACTTTTTCATGATATTCTAATTTTATGACCAGCACCTGTAAGGTCCTCACAGCAGGGCCGGCGATTGCTACAGGCGAGCTAGGCAATTGCCTAGGGCGACAAATGTGTTGGGGGCGCCCTCTAGCGTCGCCCTTAGGCTTACTTCCCATTAATCATAGAATTAGAAAAAAAAAAGCGAATTAAACCGGTTATGAAGCGTCCGTCAGTTTGACTTAACCTTACGTATATATAAATAGCAAAATATGAACAAATAAATATACCGTTTTTTTATTTATTTTTTCACATTTAAGAGAAAATCGGAAAAGATTCTGATCACTTTCCAAGCGCCCTCCAACCCGGAAGTCATGACGTCAATCACTGCAGCATGTCCACCAATGTTTTGGAATGAAATTGTAAGCAAACGTACTTGCTTAACTTTGCTCGCGGTCGGGCCCGTCTTAATCATCCACTCAGAGTACCACTGGTAAGCGCACACAGACTTTGTAGCTTGTCCGGTCAGTTAAAAATATTAATTGTGAAATCCGTGTTGTAATCGGAAGCATACAAGCTAGTTAGCTTGAAAAGTAAATAAAGTTTCAGACGTGCTGCGTGATGATGTGTTCAGATTGGCTCAGTAAAACGACAATTAGGTTATCATGATGCGTTCAAGTGTAACGTAAAGAAAACGGGAAATTTTGTTTTTGGCGAGAAACATGAGTAATACAGTTGTATATTGCTCTATATATAATTAAACTACTGATGCCAACATTTATTAAAAATTACATTTAATTTAAAATACAATTATTTATTTGTTAAATATTTTCCTAATCACTAAAAACATGATGAAAAGTGACAGTAGACAATACATTAACCAACAATTGTGAAAATATATTCTAGTTAGTTTTATGTCATTTCGAAGTGGCCTATTACAATAGCCATGTTTATTGAAGGCTAGAAACGTTTTTGTTATGCTCACTTGTTAAGCAATAGAAGCAATACCAGTTCTGTTAAAAACATTTTGTTGCATTGCCTTTCCACCAAATAACAGAAAAGTATCGATAGTGGTATCGATAACGACTCGGATCGATAAGGAGTATCGATAAATGTATCGATATCAATAAATATTAACGATCCCCATCCCTAATCTTGACATCATTTTCTTCTCAGTATATATATGCAGCAGAATTATGTGCTATATTATTAGCTTGAGAATGGGTAGAAGATACTAATATAAATAAAATATTTTGTAGTGATTATCTGCATTGAGTATTCAAAAGGGATGTACAAATAATCATCAAAATATATGAAGTTATGGCTGTTCATCATAGAATATGTGAACAACAAAAAAACCAACAACTTCAAACTTTTAATTTTGTAATGGTATTCATAAAAGCACTTTTTTTTGTAGAGGGTTAATCCTTTCTTTAATCACTAATCAATGTCAGAAATCAGGGTAAATATACCTGATATATTTTATTTAGAGGAAAATTTTGTTTATCTCATTTCTATTTATGTTCAAATGATTTAATTGAACTGGAACAGAAAATTAATTAATGTTATCAATTACTTTTTTATGTAGTCCTTGGTTGAAGAATTTCTTAAATTTATTATTTTTTATTGTTATTTGGTAATTTCTGAAATTGATTTATTTAATATTTGTTTAATGTGTGTTAAATTTGTTAATTGTCTGAAATAAATTCATTCATTGATTCAATCCAGTTTTTTAGTTATACTTTACCTAAGTGTCC